TGTTGGAATCAAGGACCGTCATATTTTGGTTTACGGTAGTCTATGCTTTTGAATAGAAATTTTCACTCTTTCAGGGTTGATGTTTTTTTTTTGACAAATACTTTCGGCCCTTTTGATGTAAAAGTTTATCTAAAATTTATCTTTTAATGGTATATATATACATGTATCCCGTATTTCGTTGAGGTTGAACTTGAAATTTAACTTTAGATTTATCCATTAAATGTGGATCGGTAACAGGTGGGTTACATTTGGACTCCCAAATGCGCCAGCAGCCTTTATGGACACGATGAATAGGGTATGTCGTCCCTATCTTGATAAATTTGTGATTGTCTTCATTAATAATATTTTGTTATATTCTCGATTGGAAGAAGAGCATTCTCATGATTTGAGATTACTCTTGGAATTATTAAAACAAGAGAGATTGTATGCCAAGATGTCAAAGTGTGAATTTTGGCGGCGAGAAGTCCAGTTTTTAGGGAATGTTATCTCAAAAGAAGGTATTAAAGTAGATCCATTCAAGATTGAAGCCATTGAAAGGTGGTAAGCCCTAAAGACTCCAACGGAAATCAGAAGTTTTCTAGGATTGGCTGGGTATTATCGTAAGTTTATACATGATATCTCTCGTATAGCTACTCCACTAATGAAGTTGACAAAGAAGAATGTGAAATATGAGTGGGATGAAGTGCAAGCTCAGGCCTTTCAAATGTTAAAGGAGAAGTTATGCAGTGCACCAATACTATCTTTGCCAGATGGAATGGAAGATTTTGTGGTATGCGTCAAATATGGGTTTGGGTTGTGTACTAATGCAACGTGGAAAGGTAATAGCTTATGCTTCTAGAAAGTTAAAAGATCATGAAAGGCAGTATCCTACTAACGATATGGAATTGGCGACAATAGTGTTTGCTTTGAAGATATGGAGGCACTATTTGTATGGAACGAAATGTCAAATTTTCACAAATCATAAGAGCTTGCAACATCTGTTCCATCAGAAGGATCTGAATATGCGTCAAAGAAGATGGTTAGAATTGGTAAGTGATTATGATTGTGAAATTTTGTATCATTCAAGAAAAGCTAACGTAGTGGCCGATGTGTTAAGCCGACAAGAGAATAGTGGAACTATCAAAGCTATAGCTTTACGGGTTGAGTTACTACCAAGTATTCAAG